ATGCAGCACCATGATTGATGGGCATTGCTTTGACTGGAGGGCTTTGAGCATGCGTGCCAAGGGATGAAGGCCTACTTGGAAGCGCAACATCTAGCTACAACTCAAATGGAAGAACGGCGCAGGCTATAGGAGCCTGCTGGGTGAGTGCCAAGAAGCTTGTGCTGCGCCGCAAGAAGGAGCTCCTGGAGAAGGAGTCTGCTTGTGAGTTTGCTGTTTTGTTATCACCTTTGCAAATTGCCGCTCGATTTCTGAGATGCTTACACAATCTCCTTGTGACTTGCATGCGCAACAGCTACTTTGACGGTGGGGGCATCGAAGTGAAGCCCTCGGACGTACGCGCGCATCGTGCACACCCAAATCCCCGGCGCAACTTCCTTACGCGCCTGTCCCAATCCTATGCATCCATCCACTCCTCCTCCACCATGCAAAGACTCTCGCCTCAATTCACGTTCCCTTAGTCTCCTTTGTCCAAAATCACATGTTACAATTTGTGGCACGCATGAGCGTGGCGCGCGGGGGCCACCTGAGCCCCTGCATCAAATGAGTTGCCCCGCATCAAACAGGTCGCAAACACAAATCTGAATGAGGGCATGCTGCTATGTGCAAGCAGCATACAATGGTGTGACAAGCTGCTGCGGCGGCAGAATGCAAGAGAAGCGCGCACGCAGTGGTTTGCGATGTAACTTACGCAGTAGGAGAAGCTACAAAGAGAGCGCGCATGAGCTGCTGGCCAAAACGTGAATGTGCTACTCAAGCTCACCGCGCTTCAAGAAAGACTTGCGACGGCGCACTAAAGCTTTGAGCCGGCCAAGGTTGGCCTCCGCGTCTTCCAGGCAGATGCCAAGCACAATTGCCCTGCGCTTGAACTGGCACTCAAGTTCTCCACTAATACCCGGGCTGAAGCAGGCCGCTTTTGCGTATTCCCACTTCTTCTTTGCTTCAACGACCTCCTCTTCAGCAATTTTCACTTTGCACTTGAGCTTGAAGAGCTTTGGCTCTTCAGGCACGGAAGCCTTGCAATACACTTTGCTGGGCTTGTACAAAGTTTGTTTGTGGCGGTACGTGTTTGCGCAAGCCCACATTTGCTGGGCGCAAGTCTTCCCGCAAGCCATGATGGAGTTTGCGTTGTTGTGGTTCAAGGACAATGCGCACACCATGCAGCACCATGATTGATGGGCATTGCTTTGACTGGAGGGCTTTGAGCATGCGTGCCAAGGGATGAA